TCATTCTCAGCTGCGCCCGCATTACCCGTCCTCACCACCAGGCGGCAGGCTCTGCCGTTCCTCTGTCTTCGTTGCTGGGGGCTCTTTCCATCCCCTGGAACCCTTCCACAGCCTATCATTTAGGAGAGGTCTCATTTATGTATATTTGGTAATTTTTAACTATTTTATCCCCCCTCCCTCAGGAATTTACTATTACTATACTCCCACTCCCGAAATGTTATAAGAAACTTAGAAATCTAAACTGGCAGATAAATGAACATGAAGATCTGAACAAGATATTGAAGCACAAAATGGCAATAAAAGATTTCCATGTATCAACAAACACCCTAATTATGAATGAACTAACTACCAACAGAAAGACTCAGAGAAGCATGCTGGATTCGAAATCAGAATCCAACCTTCTACAGTCTTTCAGTAATGAAGATGAGGATGATGATGATAGCAATATTATTATCAGTATTAAATAATGTGATTAAAAAGTATTAAAAAGTGCATAGCTCAGTGTGAACTATAGCAATTATTGACGGAGATTTAGAAACACAGGTATGGAGGAAGTAATTTTCTATTTGTTTACTGTCCCAGCTGAGTACAAAAATTACTTTGTTGACTTGCAAGCATTTCTCTTCCTCTTCAGGTCCAGAAGACACCTCCTCAGAGTCTCTCCTCATCGTAAAGTATTTATAAAGTCTAATTAAACTCTTTTACCTCATGATGTTGGGTTATTTATCAGGTTGCACAGGTATATTGACATATAATGCCTCTCTTGGCAACATTGACAAAATAATAATGAACACAAGCAATAATGAAATGACCCAAGAATGTAAGAAAGCGTAAACAGTCTTTTACCAGTCCTCTGAAATTAGTTATTAGTTTTATACCCTAAGTCTAGAACTCCTCATCTGTCAACAACCATAGCTTCCATTCAGCTCTTTAAGCCATAATTTCTACATTCCTGAAATGTTATGTTTTGTTGTGGTGGTTGTTTAAAGATTTATTTATGCATACAAAACCGGGGTACAAGCCAGAGGTACAGGGGTGATGAGAGGATTCACCAGCGACAAAGTGGGGGTTCAGAATAGGCAAGAGACAAAGTATACTGCTGCAAGAGCAATAGACAGGCGAGGAGAGGGCTTGCAGTACCATGTGGGTCACCTCCAGGGCCGGGAATCAAACTCACACTGAAGTGGCTGCGCTAGCTTGCAGTGCTGCATCCTAACCCGGTGTGCCACCAGGGAAGGCCAGTGTTACGTTTTTTTAATAATGACCACATGTGCCTTCCACAAATTGCCACCAGTAGGGAGGGTGGATGGAAACTAACTGCTACCATGGAAAATGGTCCCACTCACACAAGTCATGATTTTCATCATGCATGGCCCAGGATCAACAGAGGAAGGCATTGACTGAAGATGGCATTAACTGGGCTGGTGGTCTCTGGTTAGAAGGCACCTATTGTGGCAGGAAAGAAGGTAACGTGTCACTGAGTTCGATGCTGCCAGACTGGTAGAGGGGATTGTATGAATCTGTGAAATCCCTAATCTGGTCGTATAGAAACACTTCATGTAATATGTGCCAAATGATTTTTAGACTGATATTCTGTAAAGTCAAACACGATTTTACACCTACTTTGCTGTTTTTGTATCATTAATAGAATGGAACATTCCTACTCTAACATAATCTTAGTTACTAGCTAATGGCAAATTCATATACAATAAAATAGTAGGACCAAGCTTGTTTCATATTGGAGGGTTTAACAAAAAGTCAGGCAGAAAGTTGTTAAGACAAATATATTTAATGAGTAGAGAATTTGATATGAATTAATAGGAGTGACATATGAGGAAGATAAGAGGGGGAATGTAGTTATCTAACTGAAAGTTATAATTTCAGCATGAAAAGTCAGTACAGCTCTTGCCTACGTAGTAGAAGACATCAATTTGGACCTAAATTCAACACAAACTATTTTGATAACAAATGTTCAGGTTAAGTAACTCATTAGGACACTTTAAGTTTTTAAGATAAAATATTTTATCATTAGTTAAATATACATCCACTTCCATCTTCTTCGCTCCACATTATTACACGTTATTAAACATATTATTGAATAATGCTCATTCTTCATTAAATATTATCATTTAAGCAAGTTATTTTTGATTAGTCATTCAAACTGAACATTCTCAGGAAAGGTAGGTGTAGCTCTCTGCATTGTTTTCTATATATAAAGTCTGACCTCCATAGGGAAAGAGTTACTTGCCACAATGTAACATTTGGCTCTAACTAGAGTTGAAAATTGATCTCCCCCTCTCTAGCATTCTCCCTACAAGTCATAGACACATCAAGTCCAGACGTCAGGTCCATTACATCCTAAAAAAGAGAAGTTCTGGAAAATCAGAGAAGTATGCCAATAGATGTCAGCTCAAATCAAGTTCTATAAACTGCAGGAGGGAAATATTAAAGTAGAAGTTTATTCTCAAGTGATTAGGGATGAAGAGGAGCGAAGGGTAGAGACTGAATGAAGTCAGAGCAGGAGAGAGTGACGCGTTAGTAGCCAGCAGAGGAGGAGACAGAGAGAGCTGAAAGGCAGGAGGGAAGCTTAAGACAATACTGGAAAGACTTCTTTGACCACGCATCCAGCTTCTTGCTTCCTGCCTACTGCACTCGCCCCCACGCCAGACGGCAGAGTGGATCACTGTGGAACTTGGCAGAAATGGCCTAGGAGGTAAAAACCCAGTTTTGCAAAACAGACAGCCAGCTCTTATGGCTCTGTCCCTGAAACATCACCTCTAGCCAAAATTTTTCAAATGAAAATACACCCAATATAGAAAAGTCTGCCATGCTACCCTCACAATGTCATCAATTGCCCCTCTGGGACTGTGGGTGATTCTGAGAGGCTACAGATCTGGAGGCCAGGGAAGTCTTCAGAACTCTGAACTCCTATGATTCCTCTTTGTGTGTGTGTGGGGGGGGTGGAGGTGGGGGTTCTTCATGGGCATTTTTGAAGATAGAATGCGTATAGATGCCATTGTTTTCTGATAGAGAAAGCATGGAAAAATCTTTTGATGACCTCAAAATCTACTAATCAGTGTCCTGAATTGAAAATCTTTCCACTTGAAATAGTCTGAGTTTCTCTTCCTAATTTCTAAGTATTTTTGCTTCCTTCCACAAGGGATTTCTCTTTAAAATTTTTATTTTGTGGATTCTAAGAAAACTCAAAATTCAACACTTTCATTTAGATGAGGATGCAAAATTGATATATCAGGATTCATAAGTAATCGAACAGTAAAAAAAAATTTTTCAGGTCCTCTATATACAAAGTCTGACTACTATTGCTACATCCATCAAATAGTCCATCCACTTATACATTTTTAAGAGAGTTTAAATTTTTATTAAGAAACCATTTTTAAAACTCAATGCTCTATTTTTCAGTAGATGCCAATAATAATCTGTTCCACAGCTTCCTCATGGCATTTTTCACATCCCTGTTCCTGAAAGTATAAATCAAAGGATTAAACAAGGGGGTTAGGATGGTGTAGAAGATGGCCACCATCTTGTCAAAGGAGAAAGCAGCTGGAGGCCGAGCATACTCAAAAATGCAGGGGACAAAGAACAGAATCACAACTGCGATGTGAGACCCACAGGTGGAAAGGGCTTTCCTCCGCCCTTCAGAACTGTGCTTCCTCAGAGAGAGCAAGATGACACCATAGGAGACAACCAACATCGAGAAGATTATGATGCAGATAAACCCACTGTTGGCGACCACAAAAAGTCCAAAAACATGAGTGTCAGTGCAGGCAAGCTCCAGTAATGGGTACAAGTCACAGATGAAGTGATCGATGACATTGGGGCCACAGAAGGGCAGCTGGAAAGTAAAGAGAATTTGAGAAAAGGAATGCAGGAAGCCCCCTGTCCATGCTACTATCATCAGAATCCCACAGAGTTTCCAGTTCATGATAGAGGAATAGTGCAGGGGTTTGCAGATGGCCACGTAGCGGTCATAGGCCATGGCCGTGAGGACAAACAACTCCACCCCAGCAAAGAAGTGTTCAGCAAAGAGTTGGGTCATGCAGCCTTCAAAGGAAATGGTCTTCTTCTCATAGAGAGAGTCCACGATCATCTTTGGGACAATGACTGAGGAGAAGCAGGCATCCAAGAAGGAAAGGAAAGCCAAGAAGAAGTACATTGGGGAGCCCAGGAGTGCAGGGCTGCTGCCGATTGTCACCACGATGAGCAAGTTGCCCCCAACAGTTGCAATGTAGACACACAAAAATATGACAAATACAATTTTCTGAATATTTGGATTCTGTGAAAGTCCCAGGAGGACAAACTCAGTTACAAAGCTTTGGTTGTGCATGACTTCCAGCGAAAAGATGAAAGATACCAGAGTGAGGTTACAGAACCCACACTGTTGAGAAAGACTAGTTATGGCATTAAGATAGCCATCATGATGCTAGTGAAAAAATATCTTCTGTTTACATCATCATGTCTCCAGTGATTCTTATAATGTCGAAAATGACATAAGCTATATAATGCTTAATTCCTTATAAAAGAATGATCTGTGAGAAAGTCCCACTTGCACACTAAGACACACACTTATGGGTGTGGTAAGTGAATTTTCCCTTCATTCCCAATTTTAAAGAAAGTTTATGAAAGTTCTGTCTACTAAGAAGTGTTGATGGTCTCCAACTTAAAGCAGCAGAAGTGGCTGCTGAAGGGAATCGTCCTTAAGAAATAAGTTCAGGTTCAATGTTCTGATCTCTATTTATTGGTAGGAAAATCATCTGTAAAATGATAAGATGAAACAAATAACAGACACTAGATCTAAAATATTAGCACAGAACCTCTGCTTCCCACACTGAAGTTATTCCCATTATCTCAACACAGAAAGCAAGTATTTTTCTTTATCTTAGCAAGAAATTCAGAGCAAGATGCACAGTTGACTGCCTCCATCCACAACCCTCTGATTCTCTTGTGCATGTTTGAATGTGGTCATTTGATGAAGGACACAGAAAAATGACTATCAATTCAGAAGGTAATGGCCTAAATACAGGTGGATACAAATTGGAATCAATCACATAAGGAACAGAAATATATTTTTGATATAGCTAGAAATTTGAAACTTTATTAATTACTTGCTAATGATTTATGCAACATAGCCAGATGTGGTCAAGTTCAGCCCAGGGATTACCTGTTCATTGATAAAACTTCCTGCTCATCTCACAGGATAATGACAAGGATCAAATTGGAAATGTGAAATGTTGTTTATGATTAAAAAAAATCCATACTACATACTCTCACTTAAAAATTGTCTCACCTTACCGCCAGAAACCTTGTTCATGAGTCATCCAGATAATTCATCCAATGCTTGAGACCACTTTCCATAGGTAGAGGCAGTCAAAAAAATGTTGATTCTTCATATATATAACAGAGAATTTTATTTATGAATATATATGTATATATGTATGTAGTTGTATATGTATGTACATATAATCTATTCAATCTGTAAATAATGAGGTTTATTAATAATTATTAATCATTATTCATAAGTTTACTTCTAAGAAAATAAAAACCACTTGCACTGTTAATAAAACTAATATACAGTTGTACATGTCAGTATATTTTTTACTTATTTTAAAATAAGTTTCCATTATGTTTCCAGGCAGTGGGCATTCCTGAAAAGTGCCTGTGACATTCATAAACAGTTGCACACTGTCAACACACACACAAAAAAATGAGTTTAAACAAATTCTATAATAGCATTAAAGAAGTTTTAAAAAATATTGTCAAAAATAAAGACTGTCAATCTATAGACTGGCAGTTATCAGCTGACCCTGCAGACTAAACAGGAGAACAAAGGAAATGAGTAAATCTCAGCTAGAAATTCACACAAATCAAGATTCAAATTTAGGCATTTCTATTTAGTAATTTTTACTTCATGGGACATCTTCCTTAACCTCTCGAAGACTCGTGTGCTACTTCTGTAACTAGATAAAAGCAGGCCGCGGATGGGGTCTTCTTGTGAGACTCAGATACGGCAATACACTATTAGAAGCTCAGGGGAAAGTCACAGTTAATGGCCAAGATAAGATCCAGAGCTGTGGACACACAGCAGAAGTGACTATGTTTTTACTCCTAGTTCCCGTTTTGACATGATCAAGACAGAGAAGTAGCTTTCCCATCTTTCATTTATTCACTGATATAAAATGTGTTTTTGTCACAGTGCAGATAGAGTTTTGTTTTTTTGTGCAACACTTTTAAAAGTTCATAATAATCCCTAAATAAATTACTGTGGTCCTCACTCCTCTGACCCATATCTAACTCTCCTCAAGGTAGCTTCATACTATCTAAAAAACAAACAAAAAGAAAAGCCCAAATTGTGAGGAGGTAAAAAAGATACCAAGGGTCTATATTAATATATTGGTAGGCTCACCATTTCTCTTATGTGGTGAGTGTCAAAGAATTGATTCATTGTAGTTATAAAATGTTCATTTAATATTTTTAAAATCAGCTCATTTTTCAAAATAAAAGGAATTTCCAAAAGTAATGTTAAATCTTTGACAATATAACATGTCCTCATTGTCACAAGGTTTATAATTTAAATCATTTTAAAAATAATTGCCCTAAATGAGTTGTCCTGAATTGCATCCCAGAAAAGGGATAGTAGTAGAAAAAATAGTTAAATATGAATAGAATTATGTTTGTTTAAGAGTAGCTGAGAATGCTCAGCTCACAGTTTTGACATATATATTGATGGCAAAGTAAGAGGATAATATTAGGGGAAACTAAATGGGAAGTAGACAGGAATTCTCTATAACTTTTCCTACAACTACTCCAAGAATATTTAGTGAAAAATCATATATAACCATTGTTCAGTTTTCTTTATCAAATAAGTGCATTCCTGTTTTATCACTTAATAACCACATGTCACTGAAGTATCCTCTGTCATAAACTAGGAAAAGTAGCCTTTGTTCAAGCTGATCCACAAGAAACAAATACAACAGTTATTATAAATGGGATTGGCACAAAAAAGCCCACACGAAGATATGAAATGCTGATTACAGCATTATTTTTAAGTAAAGTTGCACACACAAAATAAACTAAAAAAATTAAACAGACCCTAAGAATAAAATACCCATTTTACCCATATTATTTTAGTCATACTATTTTCAGTTATATCAATTCTAAAATTACAATAAAGTATCATTCATGTAATTCTTTTGGAAAATATTTTAGTAAACAGTAGAATTATCAACAAAATTTTATTCTTCATAACACTAACCCCATCCTTAAAAATTATCATTATAAAAGGAGATGGCGTTTTATACCTTATAGCAGTAAAAATTTGAAAATATCTGAAATAGGAAGATATTTATATAAAGTTTCAAACAATTTAATAGTACAAAATGCTGTGAATAGAAATCTACATGAAGTCAAGACAGTGAATTTTTACACTACAGTAAATAAGAGATAAATTATAACTGCTTATTATACATTTGAATTTCAAAATCAAAAAGACATGAAATATCAAGAACGTGATATATTAATATATGTGATATAATAATATTAAAAGTTAAAATTAAGTTTAAAACTAACAATACTATATTTTCCATCATCATATGGTTCAGACAAAGGATTAGCTATTTGAGAATCTTATTAAGTATCTAGTATAATTTTTTTGCTTAGGAGAAAGTAACATGTTAATATAACCTGCAATGTTATACTAAAAACTTTAGATAGTAGGAAACTTTTACAAAAAGCCAGATCATAGTTTCACCTACCCCGTCCTCTGTACTCACTTTGCGATCAGGTTTAACTTCGTGGACTACAGGAAGCATCTACCCCGCTCCTATTTCTCCTGGAAGAGTCCACGCTCTTTCTTTTCTTAACACTTTCATAGACCTGAGGTGCTCAGAGTTGGCTCTGGGCCCTCACGGCCATGACCTGTGGGCTGTGAGCGTCTCTTGCGACCGTGACCTTGGGAATTTTGCGCCTCCCTCTCCCCATTGCCCACAGTTACCTTTGCATTTGTTTAGGAGACAAACTAATCCTAGCATCAGTGTTTCTGAAAAGAGATATTCCAGCTTCAATTTTGAAGTGTGGGTATATGTATATATGTATATTTATATGTATTTAATATGTAACCTGTATGAGGAATTAGTAGTAAGACTGTTATTTATATATTGTTATATTTCTAGAGGCAAATTTCATAAGCATTTAAAAGGATTTGTATTCCTTTAGATCACATTGATATATATTTTCTAAATGAATATTATGGTCTATTCCTGACAGAAAATTGAACGGAAATTATACACAAAGTTTTTATGTCAAATAGCTGCATCTTCTCTAAGCCCATAAAGGATTTGATTTTAAATTGTTGTTTTCCTTGAGTGACTTGACATCCATGCTCTTTTGAAGCTGAGTGTTAAAAATAATAGCATTCCTTGATCAGGATTCTTATCCTCAAGTCGAATCTCAAAGTGTTTCTCCTTAGGCAGTGTGGACAAATTAGCTTGACCTTTTCCATATTGGGTTTATTCCTGCCTTAAGGTTTCTCTCTTGCTTTTCTCTCTTGTTTTAAATGCTTTTTCCATGGATCTGTTTAAGGCTGGCACTATCACAACATGCAGACATCACTTTAGACTTCATCTTGCAGCAAAGCCCCTAATTCACCTAACTAGTGCTATGCAATCACATGCAGTGTTCTGAGAATAAGTTGCCACTCAATGATTTTATTATCATTTAACTATAGGTTGTCTCTCACATTAGAATATGAAAGGGATATATATTGTCTCATCATGACTGTATACCCATCATCAGGAGGAGAATCTGACATTTTGTACAAGCTCAGTAAATATTCCTGATAAATTAATGAACCATGTGCTTGTTGAAAAATGGTGACTATAAAAGCTATGTGCCTATTTTTGTACATAAAACTAAAAATCTAGATTTAAATGCCTTGTTTGAAACACTATACCTAATATTATAATTATTTCAGTCGCATGTATATAATACATACATGTAAAAATCACAACATGATATTAATCACACTATGTCTCCGGGCTTCCCATATACCTAGTCAAGTAAGACAGTTTTAAAAGACATCAGTGTTTGTTTAGTGACATCCAAAGCAAGAGCTGAAAAACTTAAACATGATTTGGGTTAAGAAAAGTCCAAATCTGAATATAACAATAAGAATCAATCTCCTATAGTCCCCCCCAAAAATCCTGAGAGTTCCTCTTTTCTCACAAGAATATGGAGGTGCCTTTTGTTAATAAACCACATTGTTGTTGTTGCACTAGGAAAAAAAAATATATAGACACTAGATTCTTGAGTTTCAGCATGATAGCTTAACTCCAGCATGATAGCTTCTTA